ACCACTGCTTAAATACTGTATACTGTTACAGCTTAAAGTCACTTAAATCAGAGGTCAATTCAGCTTTCTGTCTCTGGTTGAATCATCCAGTGCAATTTCAGATGCATGTTAAATTAAACTTACATGATTAATATTCATCTTACAGTGTCAGTTAATTTTATTTTTCAGCAGTAGAATAGACTAAGACCAACTTAGACAAACTTTATTGATTCACTTAAAGGAACTAAGTAACTTCTGGTGCTATTCTGCTTTAAAAATGTCACAGTCCAGAATAGATATTTACATGTTTGAAATGTGTGATCCCTTATTTCATTGTTTGTGTGTTTGATGTAATACAACATTAGTAACCTCAACCATGAACATGTAATATCAAATATTGCATGCTCACCTCATTTCTCAGATTTGGAAATAGCCTTGACCCCCAAAAGCAGCATAGAAGCAGTGTATAAGACACTATTTACTTGTGTTTGGACAGTGAGTACCATCCTTCTACAAGTTTACACAGTTTATATCATACTGTATATCAGTGCATAAGCAAGTGTCCACTCTTACCCTCACGTTCAGCCTCTAGTGAAGCTCTCAGTGTGTGCCTGGACGTAAACATGTGTAATTGTTTTTCTAAGCTTTGGCATGTACAGCACTGTATGCACATGCTAACATGGTCTTGTAGTGCTTATCCAGCCCTCTCTGATACGCTGTGCATGGGATTTTGCATATATGGAGATTTACTCTGCTTGTTGCATTAATCAAACTGACATGTGGAGACTTTCCAAGTACTTTGACTTATCAAGTAGATTAGAAACAAAAACACTTTCTGTTTTTTACATAATGAGGCAATGTCTTTGCTGCACTATGTGTACCTCTTTGTATCAGAGCTCTATATGTAGTTTTTCTGTGACTCCCATATGCACAATTTCCTTTCCACTCTTCCTGCTTGTTGCTGTTACTGTACCCACAGCTACAGTCAACCTTTACGAGGTGGGTTTAAGCTGTCAGCTGCGAGCTACTGCACTCACACAAACTGCAGCAGTACCAGAGGATTGTTTAGGCTCAGGGAGAGAGAGAGAGAGAGAGAGGAAGGGCATAGTGAGCGAGAGAGCCTGCTTTCCATAGGCCAGGGTCTGTTTCCAGTCACAGCTGCCCATGTCCTTCCTGAGCCCTGGAGCTCCTGTGGCGGCACTGCCCTGGGACAGTGGGTCACAGCAGTGTACATCTGTTCACTGTTGTAGCACGAGCAGAAATGGACACAAATAGAAACACTTCCTTAGGTTTCAGCCTGGTATTGTACATGAATATTGCACACCATGTTCCCTTCATACACCCATGCGCCACTGAAGGCCTTTGGTCCTTATGAACACACCAGCAGAACACCTGTCGGGCTCTGTGGCCTGCTCCAGGACACCTTCAAGTCATGAGCTCATCGGAAAACCAATTAAAGGCAGCGTAGGCCCTGCACACTGGCGTAATGTTTTGTTTAGCTACTTGGCTTCGAAATTAACCAAACCTGTCACAAGTCATCTGGCTGACACGGGTTGGGCTCTATTTATTTATTTTCGGTTTCTGTTGGTCCCGCTGCTGCTCCATGGCCAACAATGAAGTGATTCTGAGGGGGCGATTAGCTGACTATAACATCTGCCCACCTGGGGGGTAGTCGGTGCTCACCTCATACCTCTGTCTTTGGCTCTGATTGTTGGGTCACGGCCTTGTAGTTGAAGGTGGTGCCCCCTCTAACCCCAATCAAGGCTTTGGTGTTTCAGTGGGGGTTCTGAACTTGCACTGACCTAGCCGCTCCCAGTTTATTAAATTACATGCTTGAGTTAACAGAACAAAAGCAAGTTTTATATTAAAATATGTATAAACAGATAACAAACATTGTTAAGACAAAGGTGTACTGCTACAAAACTCTGGTGTCAAGACTTTGAGGGGGAGAGGAGTGGCCCAATGCTGAAAAGGTCAAAAAGGTTAACAGTAATCCGTCATGCTGGTCCATGTTCAGCTATAGCCCCAGGCTCTCACACAAACCCCACAGGATCACAATGTATTTTTAGATAGAGAAGAATAAACATCATCATTGATTAACTCGTATCATGTGTGTGCTAAACTTAACGGCACCCAGCAAATTTGTGCAAATAGATGCACACGCTTATATAATATCAAGGAGATGGTTGTCAACTAATTGGTAAGATGTTCTGATGTGTCATGTCTTACAAAAACAGTTGATTATTATTTTACATTTTTAACTTTTTTGTTGACAAAATGTATGTTTCTATCTAATGAAAAATGTACTACCAATACCTATAAAGTGCCCTGATGTTGGAAATAAATATTCCTTCATCATTAATAAGACCTTTTAGAACATTTCAAATTACACGTCTGACCAAATTCCTGTTCCTTCTGCGGTTGCATGTATTTTCACAGTCAGGGCCACTGAGCAGTCTCACTGTGTTTACTCGAGGAATCATTTAGGAAGTAAGAAAAACACCTCTGTTATCATTGTCATCACATGCTGTAATTACCCAAACGGCGGTGGTTCAAGCAGAGAAAACAGTCCTCTGCTGCCGAGGTCGTCCTGTAGGCATGCCAGGCCGGTTCATGGTGCTGCTGCTTCAAAGGAGGTGTCACTCTTAAGCGGTTATGTCAACACGCCGATGAAACGGGAACACACAGAGTGGATGGTAAAGCCTTGGTCTTCAAAGACTCACAGGCAGGTCAACACATACTTTGTTTCTGTGTCACTGTCAAAACAGTAGACAGGAGGAAGGGAGAAAAAAGCATGTTTGTACTGTTAATCTCAGAAAAAAGGCCTTTTGAATGTGATTTGATGTATCAGTTTGTCACGGCTGTCAGTGGCAGTAGTCAGACAAATGTGACACACATACTTGGATGGTATTCTCTAAAATAACACCGCCATGGATGCTGAAATGCCCTCACTTACCAGATCTTTATACAATCTGCTAAACCAACACATATACTCTTCGTTCTCTCATTTCCTCTGTGTTTATTTTGTACCAACTATTGTTGCTTGTTTTGGAATGTAACCTATAATTTAGCTTCAAGTGTGTTTTGTTTGCACATGAAAATAATTGCAAGGCAGAGAATGTGATTTTTAAATTTTTTTTAATGTATCCTTTTAAATAACTAGGAGAATCCCATTGCAATTTGAATCCCATGTTTAGGGGCATCCTGCGCCTGCCCCTCGCTGAGATCCTGTTGTATGAGTGGTAGGGTAAACAGGAGCATTCAGCATGGGTATAGTATAGTAGTACACACAGGGAGAACATGCAGACACACAGAAAATACCCAGACCCTCTGTATATAGAAGCCTGAACCTAAATGTATTTTTATGTATTTTAAATGTTCAAGTAACAACACTTTTATAGCGTTGTTGCTACAAGACCGTGTGGCCGAGGGTTGCTGCCTTTGCAGCAACTGAAACAATTTTCACATTTATGATCATTTGCTAATTTAACCCAAGAACTTAAATGATTTATAATGCAGTGAGTCATTTATGTCAAATGTGCTTACTATGTCATGCTTAATGCTTCTCATAACCACATTTTAGGGTCAGTTTATTGAACACATCTTCACTTCTCGGCTCATTCCCAGTCATTTGGATTGTGTATGGCGCACACTGTTTGGGGCGGAAACCACTTGAAGTCTTGCGCCAGTGCTCCAGCTCCAGGCAAAGCTTATTAAGCAGCCGCACTGTGGTGCACAAGTTCAAGCCACAAGACTGAGGTTATGATTTGCTGTCAGAAAACAGGGGCCATCAGGCATCTGACACAGCAAACTGGAGATGGATGGAGAGGTGCACTGAGCGATAGAGATGGCAGAGAGGCCCACAGCACAACATGGTTGTACATTCTCTTTCCTGTGCTATTTTGTATTTGCTCTGTTAATGAAGACAGTGATATTCAGAATTTTGTTTGAATTGTCACTAAATGTTTCCAACTATATTCATCTGTATTCATCCCTATGCATTTAGTTTTTAACCCCACAAATTATGTAGACTGGATCAAATTTGATACAGAATGTTTTAAATGGTAGTCAAAGTGGTAGCCTTTAATTGCCAAGTACTTTCTGCTCATTCCCCCATGTGCACTTCACTTCTAACACATGTGTGTGGACCACTAATTACTTATAGTTGTAAAATGTGGCAAATTAGAACAGATTTTATTTGAAGTAGTTACACTTGCCAAAGCACTGATCTGGTGCTAAAATACACATGTGAGGCCTCCTTAAATAGGGAGACATTTTAAAAAGTCAAAAACAGACTATAAGCAATCTATCAGGCTTTCTCTGTAGACAAACTACACACATTTACACATTTTACACATTGTCACACAGTCTTGCTTTGCCTAAGGGCTTGAAACCAAAGCCAGGGGTCGAGTCCAAAGCTGCATTAAAGTGCTCAAAGTCCTTGTAGAGCTGAAACATCCTCCTGTCGTCATGCTGGGACGCTCCACGGCACGCCAGAGCCTCTGCACTAATCCTGACGGCATGGGACTCATTATTGATAGGATCCTAATGCATTACCTCAGGGCCTGCTTATTGTTGGTGCAGATTATTATTTAAGAGTAAACCTAAACCCAAAGAAAGTCTAGTGTTTCATAGAAATTTATCAAAAGAAAATGTTATTCTTGGCTTAACGTGATAGCACTTTGAACATTACAACTGAAACAAACTGTGCTCCTTGCTGCTTTTCACTGTTCGTACCACGCTAACATTAACATTTTCAGAAGTGCAGGAACCTGACACTGATTCATTGTAGATTTAAGGCTAAGTCACGTTCACTCTGAGGTTATTATTCTACATAGATTTCAGAGATCCTGTTTGATGTGCCACCTGCTTTTTAGTCAATGGGTGGCTATATCTCTCCTTCTCAATTTAGAATTTTGTCTTCCTCTGTTCTCCTTACTAGTAAAGTTGTGTTCAAACTAATGACCATTTCAAACTTCTCTTATGTTTTCAATGTAAATCACATATTATTTTTCTTTCAGGTGCAGTGCTTCTAGTCAGCGTCCAGGGCATAGCTGTCAATGTGGACCCAGTCTTCTGCAATTGGCTGCTGTACAATCCTAACCGGGGGAACAGCAGACAGCAGCAAAGCGTAAGAAAGATTTCTTATTACTAACCTTTACGCTTAATCCATTTTCATGTCCAATCCATATGATCTAAATAAATGTGTCCCTGCTTGCCTTTCCCTGCTACCTTTTTCCATTTGTTCTGCTCCTTGTCTTCCGTCTAGTCCCTCTGTATTTATTTGACATGGGGTACGGTGATGCTTATGGACATTGAAGGCTGTGTGCCCACTCAACATACACATATAGACATGTTCACTTTTGATTGCCTGGGATACTGCACAGGTTCCCCCTCATAAAACCACAAAAATATATATAGGACTTTTAGTATGGTATTATAATGCATTTAATGTTACTGTTTTCATGCCTCCTGCAGTTTGGACAGGATGTTGGCATATATATATGTGTGTAAAAGACAAAGTTAAAAGGAGTTAATTGTACCAGCTCCTTACTCTCTACAGGGTAAACACATGTTATGAGTTGAATGGCTGCCAATGCGAGAATATTCAAAAGAAAGAAAAAAAAAACATTTAAGGTTACTTTCTGTGCTTTAGCTGTCTCTCATGGTCCTATCTCGAATCCTTGGCTGCTTTATCCCAAGCCTTGAGTTGAAGGACACACTGCAGCCTGTGAAGGACATAGGAAAGGACACAGGATCAAGGTGTTAGGAAGTGTTTAGTAAGTTCATACTGTCCAACTATAAACAGGACAAAGGATGTTCTCCAAAGCGTAACAGAAAACAGGACTGTATAGCAGGATTGTATTGATATCATCACACTGGGAGTGTTCTACATATATCTCTACTGGCAGAATGTTCCACAGTTACCATCGTGACACAATTTTTAAGATTTTTTATGACAATTTTTTACATGTGAGAGACACAAATAATCTCACATGTATTTCCAACCAAGTCAGCTCTTTCTGAGCAGATTGTATTAAACTAAAGCTCAGACTGAGTAATAGTTTCTAACAGAGTCGTGCATTTATTTAGCATCACACCCCCAAGGAATGTTGAAGACATCAACTGCAAAGTAACAACTGCAAATCAATATGTATTCTGTTTAATGTCATTACAATGTTTAATAGTGCACAAGTCTGATTAGTTTATCTCTAAATTTAACTGATAGGCATTTTTCATAATTCCTGAGCCAGTAGCTGCAAACAGTTATGAAATTTAGTAACGCATATTTTAATCTTACAACCATTGGGTTTTTAGGTCCCATGTGTCTCCCTCCAGAACAGATTGTGCGCGGTGTTTGGGGCAGTCTAGTTGTAGTTTGGACCTTAGCCTTGTACAGCTGCATTATAGTCTTGCCCAACTATTTGGCCTATGTTAATGGCGTTTCCTAAGACCAGACCAAACTCTCTTCCATTCTGTCTGCTAACAATCACACAGTCTGCCTATGTGTTTGTATATATGTGCATGTGTGCAGTTGTGTGTCTAACCTTCTAGCAGTTTTGGGAGTCTCTCAATGAAAACATGGAGCTGTCACTGGTCCTTGTTGGTCTTGGAGGCCCCGGTTGTGTTCCACTGCATTTTTCTGTTCTTTCCCCATTCTGTCTGTCTGTTACCCCTGCCTTGTGTGCCGCATTATATCGCAACATGAACACATTTTATGACTATGTAATCTAATAGCAAATTAAAGTGACTGCCTCCCAGATAATCTGATTGTTAAATAGGCTTGTCGCAATAATTACTATATCGAGCGCAAAAAAAATTGGGGGCAATATTTATCGCAGGTACTTTTTTTTGTACCAGTGGAAATTTTTTTTTCTTTTTTCTTTTTTTAATAAGATTTGAGCTGTAGAGTGTTCCAGAGTAGAGTGTTTCACTGTAGAGTGTTTCTGCTATTTATTTATTGCAGCTCATATTTTTTATATTATAATATTGTATTAGGGTCAAGCGGTAACGGAGGGAAACAGGGGCAGATCTTTTACATTCAAATAGCTCTTATTCAGAAACTAGAGGGACTATTGAAATAAGTAAGGTATCAGAATGTAGGAAAGAATTAGTACTCCAATAGGGTAAAGTTAACCCTGCAATATTCTTTCAAGTTGTTGACAAAAAATAAAAAAACTCATGTCGGTAACGGTGGGAATGAAATATGCAGCACTTTTTGGGCAATAAATACAAACAGCGATAATTACAGGTTCTCACTTACATATTCTTAACAAACTGGTTTGAATATTTGCTTCATATAGTTTTTTACCATATGGTACAAGATTAGGTCTTACTTTTTGAGTAATGAGATTTTTTTTTAAGAAAGGTCATGGTAACGGAGGGAAAAGTAACCGAGGGAAAATTGTGCAAGCAAGTAGAAGGTGCATAATTTTGCATAATTTGTCAGCTTTTTTCTTCCGAATACTTAAATATTACTTCAAAATGAAAGGTAACTGTTTCTATAAAATATGTCAGTCCTTCCAAGCAAATTTTTATCATTTTAAATAATTTATTTTTTTTAATCATGTACCTTTATCAACAGTTCAAAAATCGAATAACACAAGATATGATGAAATACATCAATTTATTTACATGATTTGCAGGTTTTTGAAATTTGGGAAATATTTTTTGTTCCATGTTGCATACATGGTATGTTTAAAACGTATGCAACTTTAGAATGGTACAGAAAAAAGGTAAACAGTTTCATAAACTAGAGTACATATGCTATCTGTTGAATACATTTTTATATCAGATGCATTAACTTGAATTTTTGGCCTTGCTGTATACCTCTGCTTGACCAGGCCCATTAGTAACAGGAAAGGAGAAATTCAGTTTTGTCAACTGGACAAAAGTTTTTTTGATTGGACTTGTGAGCTTGACTTTAGATCAAGGATACTTTATTGAGGATGATTCTACTTTATGGTTTGGTTCCAATATTATTGTTTATCATCTGTACTTACTTCAGCAATATATTGCACTTCAAAGATAGTTATCATGACAGGCCTGTTGTTAACATGTTTTTTACCGTCTTAACCTTGTCCTGTTATTATAGTGCTAGACAACCTTTTCTTATCAGACACTGACACTATATTCCCTTTGTCCTGCTTTGAGGTATTTCCTTTCTGTTGTAGTGTACTGCTGCATACATTCTATTCATTGATTGCAATTTCGTGGCAGACTTCTGGACCTGTCCCGTTGGTGAAGAGGAGAGACGATGAGGTCTCTGTTGGGAGCACGCCACTGGCCAAGCAAACCTCCAATCAAGCATCAGACTATGCCAGCAGTCCAGTCAAAACCAAGACTGTCACAGGTATGTCTGGACTTTCAATACTACTACTACTCAAACTACAGCTGCTACTAAGGCTTACTATCTGCAATAATTCAATTCAAGTCCAAAAATGTTGATTTGAGTTGAATACATGACCTGTGCAGGAATGTCTGTACTTTCAATATTACTACTACTAAAACTATAATTGCTGTTAACTTCTTTGTAGTTACTATCTGCAGTAATGCAGTTCAAGTTTAAAAAAACACTGTTGATTTGAGTTGAAGACATTTCCTGCACAGGAATGTCTGGAATTTCAATATTACTGCTATGCAAACTACAGCTGCTACTAACTTCTTTGTAATTACTATCTGCAATAATTCAATTCAAGTTCAAAAACACTGTGGATTTGAGTTGAATACATGAATTTAAAAAGCATGTATGGCTGGGAAGAAATGAGTGCTCCATCAGTCTCATATTTTACAATCTTTCTGAAGCCACATGGCATAAGAAATTATTATTTTTTTATTATTAGGATTTTATGTTTATATTAAGGAAGTTAGAATATGTTCCCTTCATATCTTATTCAGAGACAATAATGATGTCCACCTTTGTCTTTGTGTCTCTGGGAAAATAGTCTAAAAAGTGATGCTCTGCTTTACTCTTAAGAACACACTGTTAAATCGTTTGGGGAATATAGTTTCTAACAAGTCTACCAGCTCCGTGCAAAACCGTTCTTGCTGGTATGTTTAGCAAATTTAAAAGATCTGTTTATTATTCCTCTGAGATTTTGTTCAGTGATTTAAAAAGTAGTCCAAAGTCCGTATTTCTACCTGGAGGATAACTGCAGCAGCCCCACACTTTAGGAGCTGTCCGTGAAATTACACAGAGCTCTACTGGCTGCTCAAATAGATTGGACTGACTCGCAGATGCCACATATACAGAGTTAATAGTCCTTGTCGCCTAAGTTCTCTCATTTACTTCATGCCTAATATTGGTAGGCTATGATTAGTGACGTTGCTATTTGAAAGATATGCACACATTAAAAAAAAAAATCCTTATAACTCCATATACGTTCACTGTTACAGCTTCTAACCGTACAGAATTTTTACATTTATAAGTTTGTGTAATGCCCCAGTCATCCAGGTTGGACCCATAGCAAAAGAAACATTAAATTCTGTTCACTCAAAAAACTTTTGTCCAGTTGACAGAATTTCTTTTGCTATATGTTAATGTTGTGAATGTGAATTTTTTAATTTAACTGGATGTTTTGTAAATAATACAGGGACAGAGGATGTCCATATTGATCTCATCTTTCATTCTTGAAGTAAAGTAATGAGGTAGAGAATCTAGGTTTTGTGTTGAATAGAGAGGCTACCGTATATTAGAGAATGGAGAACAAATTGTCTTTGTTGCTTTGTAAAATATCAAGATCTTAACACATGTGCAGCTTCTGTGGAGATCTATTTAGTTCTGCAGGATTTTGTTGATTTCCCCAAAGAACTCTGAAAGAGGATCTCATCGTATAAGTCTTTATTGCAGACACTTAGAACTTCTAACAACTTAGTGCAATGAAATGATTCTCGTTTGCCTCAAAGTTATGCTCCTCCAACTTTACATTACTTGGGCTGAACTTTTGGTACTCATAAAAAGCCTACAGCCCACAGCGCGCCCACCAACCATGCTCTATAAAGCGGCCAATTAGGAGCTCAGTTGTAAGTAACTGCTTATTTCTCTGAAATGAGTTTAAAAAATGCTTTTGCTATCAAATTATCCAATGTGTGGGATATTTGCAATATTGCTATATAGGGCTTTGTTTTGTTACGCTTGATTATGAATTGGCCACAGCAAGTTCTTTCTGTGCGTATTGATTTCCATTACGACTATTGGTTTCCCACACAAATCACCTTGGGGGATTAGAAAAATAAATCAAAATCTGCTCAGTCATTTCTGCTGTTTAAAGCTTTCTTTGAACCATCTCGCTGGTTTCACGTCCCCCCATCCAAATGGCCATTTTGAACCCACGCCTGGCACTGTTATGATGTAAAGCAAGTGTTGTTTTGTTCCCACATTCAGCTTAGTTACAGTTTTGTTGTAATCAAGAGGGACTTTCCTCACAAAGCTAAAGGAAAGTGCCTGTAAAAGTAAATGTGGAGACGCACACAAAACCCGGTGAATCACTAGACCACTGCCCCTTACATCCCACAGAGGGCAAAGTGATATCATACTATGGGACCAAGGAGCAGCTCATATCTCAAAAACTTAACCAAATGAGCCCACCTCTGTTCCTGTTTGGTCATTGCACATGTTAAATACGCTCAGCCTGTAAGAGAGGACTTTTAGACCTTGCATTGGCGAGAACTTGCTCAGGCCAAAAATGTAATAAATTATGGAAAAAAACATTGAGTTATATTATGACTCATGTACAATTACATTTTTGTACCTTATATTAAATGATGACCAATATGTATGGCAAACAAGCATACATTAACATCAGTTTTGCCGACAGCATAGAGTACAATATGCTAAATTAAATAAGCAAGAATTAATATCCAATTGAAAATGATATATTATGCTTAGCTATATATACTAAATCCTTTGGAAAGTTTCACAGGTGTGTAGTGAGATTTTATGAGTACAACAAACGTTGTATAAACGTTGCTTAGTTACATCCCAATAAAAGTGCTTTGTGTTGTTTTTCTGTGGTTATCCCTTGTACTAACAGTCCATAGAGCAACAGTTGTAGAGTGAGCGCTTTCTTCTTGAGGTCGATTCTTGTCTGCCCGCACAATTACACCACAAATTGGTTCACATAAAACTAGCCTCTAAGTATTTTCTTTATTTGTCCCTAATGAATGTTCGTGTTGGCAGCCGCACTGTGTTTCTGATTGAGAGCCCTGAGCTTCTCATTGTTCGCTAACATGTACCAGAGTAATGATCTCACTGACTTTACTTTGCAATCCTAAAATTAGCTTCTGGCCTCTACACAGCATACCTCTGCTCCTGAGAAGCCCGTTTCTGATCTGGCTGAACTCCTGAAGGTTGGACCAAGTACAGTATCCCCATGGCCTGGTGATTAGATGGAGTTTTTGTTTGCTGACATGAGAATTGCTTAATGTATCAGTAATCTATGGGCATTTAGAATAACAATATTCTCAAATGTATCAGGAATGATTATACTGCTGTAATTATGCAAGCTATGTATTGACTTTTTGTACGTTAACATAATGTGATTACTTCTGATTTGATTGGGGTGTGACTAAACGGATAGTGGCCCAAGTGAGGTCTTGGGTGTAAACAGGTCATTCTCAAATGGTAAGTCAGGACTCATGCTAGAAAAATCATGACTACTGTTTAAGTATACATAAATAAAGGACACGGTTACATGCATCAAAAAGTATTAATCATCTGTCAGCCACAAGAGGGAATACATTATTCTTTGCTATTTACATTTTCAAGTAGTATCTTAATTGCAAAGTTTATCTAACCACTAAATCAGACCCATTCTCCTGAAAGTTCATACCTGTTAAGGGCCTCATACGTATATTTTGGGAACATGGAAAAGATCCAGATTTTGTGGGTGAGAACATTTCTGTGGACTGAGCTGAATTGATGTAGTATGGAGAAAGAGATGGCAGAATGTAATTAGTATAGAAATGTGTACAATAGAGAGAGCTCTGATGAGAAGACTCGAGCCCGGACGACACTATCATCTATTACTATTATCCGAACCCTAGTAGCTTGATGGAAGTCAGGCAGTTTTTATTGGCTGCTGTGCGCTTTTCAGAAGGGGATAATATTTTCATTGTGGGGTTATTTATATAGTTTAATTTTTCTGGTAAAGTCAATAATTTATCAAGGTAATGATGGTTGGAGTAGAGGAGGGAAAATAAGAAAAGGGGGAATAATGAGAATGGGGGCCCCCATGTGAGAAGTATAGCTGTTGTCTGTCGATGTTTCTTTGGCCTATCTGCACTGATGAGTCCATACTAACCACAAATGAACAGTGTCCTTACATATCCCTATTATTAATGATAAGGGCATTAGGCTTTGTAGCTGTTGGCTCTGGAGTCTGGGGTTAGAGCTGGGTTTGAGGTTCATCAGAAATACCACAGCTTCTCTAAAGATTTGTTTCACATGATGTTATAGCACAGAATGAGGTTAGGATTTTCACAGCTCAGATTGGAGCTGTCAGGAGTGGTTATATGCATTGTGAGCCTTTATTATGGCTAAGCGCACAGAGCTTCAGCACTTTTAAACAAACACTTTATGGAATTCTGACTGAAAACTGTCTGAATTTGAATTCTGGCCATTGAAATCAGTATAGTATGTGCAGATACACTGAAATTAAATTTAATAACTGTTTGTGTCCTCATTAATGGTAGTTTATAGCATGCTTAAGTTAAATACTTTTGAATACTACCACTGTGTCCAAATAATTTCCATTGTGGATCAGTAATGTTTGTTTGAGTGATGTGCCATTTTTAAACCTGCTTCATTCATTATTTGAAAAATCTAAATCTATATTATTTTTATACCCAGATTAATTACAGATTTTTTTTTTTTTTCTAAAAGCTGCTGTAATGAATGGGCTCTGCCACACAGACATGTAAATATAATAAAATAAAATAAATAAAGACTTGCCTTTAAAACAAATAAGCAGGCAAACAAAATGCACTAAATGAACTCTACTGTCTGAGAATATACACTTTAGATCACTTTCTCCATTATTTATTTATCAGAAAAAATGTACTTACTTTTCTTTACTTGCATTTACACCAGAGTTTAAGATACAAAGGAGTATCCTCCAAGATATAAAGATACAAACTGGAAAATCCAAAGCAGTCAGTTACATAAACCAAGACAAAATTATATGGACATAGTAGCTCACACATTATCAAAATTACATTAAGTTACAAGTTACATGCTGTTGCACAGCTATTAATTTGTATCAGTCCCATGTTAACATAAAAGTATACAGCAAACTGAAAAGCAAAACAGAAAATAAAGAAATGTCTGTAAAAGTGCTGAATGCTTAATATAGAGTTAACAGTTATGATGTTAGTGTTTCTGTGTTTTGGGAGCTGAAATGTTTTGTGTAACTGCCAAATGTGTATGATGTGTGATTTACACTCAGCACACCACACACCCTCACACCTTTCTCAGCCTTGTCACTCCAATAAAATATGTTTTCTGTGTCCCGAAAATTGGACTGTCCTCTTTATTGTCTCTTAGGCCCTGAACTTTCAAATGTGATAGAGCTGTTAAACACTATGTATGTAATGACTGTGATGTTTATGGACAGAAACACAGGCAGGAGCTGGACATAGTGAAAAAGGGAGCGTTCCAAGAATTAAACAAAATGGGGGAAAAGTCTAAAGAAATGCATTGGGTCACACTTGGACTAATGGCCTATAAAGGGTCAGGATGAGGACACAGGCTGATGGCACGATCTTGATCTGAGTGGACTCCATGGACTTGTTAGCTCAAGCACCACTTTAAGAGCTTTGGGTGCTCCTGTCATACTTCTACTTCATTATCTTGCCTTTACTTCTGTCTTTCTCATTTTCCCAAACTGCATACTACTACTTTTTAAGGTCCACTCCCTTTAGTGCTGTCAGACGCCAAGTCACTATAACAAGATATGGCAGTTTCATTCCAAATAATGGCCCAGGATTAACAAACAGAGTCGGGAAATAGCATTTAAAACTAAGTAGGGAGCTCTGTGCAGTTAGACCCTTCCTGCATTGTAACGGCTTGTGCCAGTTAGTGAACACGGTTTTTGATTGGTCTAGCAGATTCTCTCTCTCCAGAGTTTGTGAGTCTGGCCAAATCCCCAAAAGAGCCAACTAAATAAAAGATGAATGATTTTACTCGTTGGGTCAAAGTTGAATGTGAGGTCCCTAGAATTAAGGCTATAAATGGATGTTAATAAGTCAAGGTTAGTCCAGGAGCATAACCCGCTTCAAGACCCAATATAGCATAACCTTTCCTCAACCGCTTCTCAACTGCATTTAACATTTTCCATAGGGCCTTATGGCCTTACGTAAACATTAAATGATGAAGTTAATTAAACAGTAGATGCTGGTCATGGCACTCTCAGCTTGACCCTCTTATACAACTCTGTTTGTTTGTTTATTTAAGTCAAGTTAAGTCAAATATGGCTGAAATGAGGAGTTAGTGACAAAAGCTCAGTATAACCATCTTAGTCTTTATAACTTTGCTGTGAGTGACAAATTACTCTTTTCAGGTTCACTGCTGACCTGAAGCATACTGCTATTAAACTGGTGATCTATGAGTTGATGAGAGAACACTCTAACCACAGAACCACTGACACCCCAAATGTCGGTCTGCTCCTTGAATTGACAACTCATATGCTTATTTGTCATATTTACATATACATTCTGAACGCTACTCAAAGTGTTACTAAAACAGCACAAAAATGTCACCACAGTTTTTATGTTACTGATAGAAATTCACACGTCATGTTTCAATATCTGTTGTGTTTGTTTAAAAACAATTCACAAAACGTTTACTTTGCCCAAGCAGAACTTTATGTTCAGAAAATCCTGTTGTCAACAAAATTTTCAACAGGAATCTCAAATAACACATTTACTTGATTGTGTGTAGTCATATTGACTACCATTGACTCACATATGGGACAAATGCATGTACATGGTTTCAATAGTAATAAAAGTCATTCATAACTATTGTGTTGATTTAAGTCTTGGCTCCACATGTTCACGTAACAAAATGTCTCTTCACACATGGATTCAGACATTTAGAGACAGCACACGTCCAATCTCCAGGGTTAACACCTTCCTGGTCTAGACAGTTAGACTACATAAGAAAACACTAGTCTCAGATCTGTGTCCTGTGTGCTCACCTAAAGTGTCCTACCGGAAACCAATGCGCTGTGACAGTACACTTCTAAACACACACAACCCCAAATGAACCAAAAATACAATTGACAACCAAATGATATCACAGTGGTTTCTGCACCACTTTATGCACATTACTCAATGAAAGACACTCTGTGAAACTTAATCTGTCCTGTCAAAGTCAATATATACCATCTACAGCTATGTGGAAAATGTAGTTGCTTATAAAACCATTGGAATTAGCTTGGTGCATGGCTCACAGGAATAGTGTCACTGACAAATAAGCAGAACGAAAAGGTAACTTGTCATATGTACACAGCAATAAAAGTAATGCTTAGGAGTGAGTGAGCCATGGTGATGTAATCCTGATGATAGCCATTATAACAAATATAATTTCTCCCCTATTCCCAAAACACCATAGACACCTGGATGCATACTGTGAGAAAAATGTAGTCTAGGTCCTCTTTCAGTTACATACTTCCCTAAAGTGCACCTGCACCCTTAGTCAGTCATTTTCCCGCCCACCCATTTTGGGCTTTTGGCCACCGCGACCACAAAACTTACCATTCCTTACATGCACTCCTCCGGTTACCATGACAAACGGTTTAGCTGTTTTGGCGATATTTGGGTACATTATGACTGACTAAAGCACAATGACCTCACTCCTGTTTCATGACAATTGTGGGACAGAGAGCTGCTGAGCAAGGCACAAGTTTAAATTATTGGAATATGTCTTAATGTGTCTTTGGAGAGCCCCCACTCCTGAATTCACCCCTGGAGCACTGATGGCTTTAGCATACAAAGACATCTATGGCTATAACCTGGGGACAATGCAATCTGCACATACTATGACTCTGGATAACTTCATATTTTTGGCATTCATTTTTATGTGTTTTAGATGTCCAACCTCCTCACATTACCCAACATTGCTCACCAAATAAGAAATCCCTTGAGTCTATTTATCCTCTGCTGACGGAATAGTTTCTGGTCATTAGCCCATACATTATGAACTGGTGGTAATGTTCAATTTCCCGTAATATGACTCTGTATCAATTTTTACAGATGCATTAATGCTTTGTCACTTACTTGTTACCTTCACACGAAAGAAACACTTGGAGATTTCAAACCTATATTTACAACTCACTTTTAATTTCATTTTAAATACTGTAATGAGCATCAATGCTAACGTTTTTTGAATGTTTTCTAGTTGGTTTAGAGTCTCACATGTGTTGTTCATATATGACCAAACATCATCAGATGTACACTCTATGAATCCTAAATAAAAATATCATCATGGTTACTTTGCTGATTGGTAACTTTCTTCCCTTCACAAATCTCACAATTTCTGTCCTAATATCTTGTTTCCCCTTTGGCCTGTAGGTTGAAATGTTTGAGGCTAGGGCTAATATTGGTCCTTGTTGCTGTGTGATTTTTCTGCTTGGCTGTTGCCATGAGCAGCACAGACAATGGGATTTGGTGCGGACCACAGTGGGTTCACCAGGACATGTCATGTCTAGGATCATGTCTAGGACAGTGTGCGTGTAAGGCAGTTCTCACAGTGTCTCTCTCTGTAGGAGACAAGAAACCGTAGTCCCAACATTACATCAGCCCAATGAGGTGTCAGGTCAACTTTATATAACATGATACTGTACAGCAAATGAAAATAACAGGGATTAAGACAAGGGGAATAAAAGACGGTTACTCTTCAGTATGTATCATATATATTTGACAAGGTTGCATGTAAGAGCTGATGGCAATTTAATATAGAACTGTATTTAAGTAAATTTCCTCTACCCAAACTGATGACACCTATTGACTTCATATTTTTTTGTATAGAGTCGCGCCCTCTTTCCATCCCAATGAAAGTGATGCCTGAGAGCCCAGCTGTGGAGTCCTGGACTGCTTCAGAGGAGAGAGTGAAGGAGCTCATCTCTCAGGCCTGGGACGCTGTCAAACGCCTAACTCTACAGGTAATTCTCCTGACAGTGTCTGACCTGCACAGCCATTGTCATATTTTGTCCAGAAATGATCGTGCTCCATTTTCCTAAAAATATGTGCAACAAACCATACAGTGCATAAACATGCAATGAACTGTTTTAGGAACATGTTTTAAATTATGTTTTGGTCAAGTGTTATGCTTGTGTTAAGGCCAGTTTTATATCTTTCTGAACAAATGCAAGTGGAACTGTCCGCATACCCCCGCATTTCCCGTAAATATGACATTGGATGTGAGATCTTTTTTCTGGCTGTTCATCTCCCTGGTAGTCATTTCTGGTGTGTGTGTGTGTGTGTGTGTATATATATATATATGTATATGTATGTGCTCCCATTGTGTTGCTGCTTGCTGTATCTTGATTGAATAAATGTGACCACATCAGAACTGGCCTCATCTGAAGTCCATCAGGAGCTGCTGACAACTGCACTCCTAGAAGCAGGACCAGGACTTCAGGGTGCATATGTAGGTGCCTGCGTGGAAGTACTCACTCTCCTTCTCATGGAGTAATTCTGATTAGGACATATGGGTTCCACATTTGCATGCTGACAGAATGTTACTTTTTTACTTAAATGACCCTCTTTTGTTTCAAATAGATACCTTCAAAGGATAACATAAACATCTATGCACAGAATATGTATGTTTTCCTATAGCTTCTATGTTTGTGGCATCACAGATATTGTTGCAGGATATTTAAAGAGCAGCTAAACAACTAAATATTATCTAAACCATTGCTCCTTCATCTTAATTTTTCTTGTTAGGACCACACAAACCTACGTCAATCACACATGAAAGAAAGCATGACGCATGTGAATTGAAATCATGCTCTGTAGCCCTGGTCCCATGTCATCTGGTTGAGGTGTTTACAGTACTTCAACAAAAGTTAACTCAACCCTCTAATAGTTTGCTGAGCCCGTCATAGCCTCGACTTTCCTGTCCCCTTCGGCTGTGTGACTATGGACCACACTGTGCAGAGCTGCAGTAATTAGGAAACAGTGTGTCCTGTTGACATGGGAGTGGAAGCCAACCAAACCCAGCAGCCCGACAGCTGGCACCTCAGGCCTTGGATATCCCGAATTTAAACCACTCCATTTATTTTAGTGTGGTGTAAACAAAATACCTAATGGCTCACACTTCTACAGCACATGTACTCAATTTGGCATAGGGACCTTCTTTCCATTCTTTACAAAGAGAGGAACGAGCGCAGAAGTGAGGATGTGGTATCACAGTATTAGGGAAAAGGTTACAAGAGCTTTATTATTCTACAGCTGCTCACATCCACTTAAGGCTGGGAAAGTTGTGGTGACTTTGTACACTTGTACATTTTAAAATCCCAAATAGTCATCAGATCTTAATATAGAAACTCTTGTGAAATGGAAATGGTCCTAAACTTCACCTCAGTGGGAATATTCTGTATCATGCGGCTGCCATGACCTGCCATTAACCCAGAAACTACACACACAAAAACATATCTGTGAAATCAAATGTATTTAAATGAAAACCTGCATCTGGACTTTTACCCAATACAACAGTTATAAAAACGTGCAGTGATGTTTTTTTTTTTTTTTAATAATACTGTCCTATTACAGTCAACTAAATCGTCAACACTTTGGATTTAAGGTTCAGACTAATGTAATTCACCATCTCGGTGTCACACCAAATACTGTGGTGACATAAACTGGTTTCAGCTTTAGACCTAATGAAGACTTTTTCACAGTTGGTTGTTAATAAGTGTGGATGGTGTAATTGTAGTTGTCAAATCTCATTAGAACTTTAGAGCTATGCTGTAAATGTCACTGGCCGGAGTGGCCTGGCACTCTTCAAAATGGCTGGTTGCCCTTGGCCTTAAATGTGTGACCCTTCTCACTCAGACTAATGTGTTGTAGCTCTCTCCCTTCCTGGTCTACTCAGGTTTCTCTGTATTTCTACCTCTGCTGACCTCTGACCTCCAAGCTTTTGTCTGTTTGGTCCACTCCACACTTTAAACTTGTGATTGCCTCTCCTTCTTGTTCCTCAGCCCTGATAGTGATTGCATGTGATGAGGATGGTGATTCTATTTCAGGAATTTTGCAATAATTCCTTCTATTTAACACATGCATGTGTTCAGCGCTGGCAGAGCCGCTTGTTGCTACCAAAACTGAAAGGGGATCTGCTGAAACAGAGAGGCTGTTGCCATGGAAAAATGAAGTAAGAGTGCTCCCTGCAGCTGCCATGCATTAATGGGGAAGATATATTTTAGTGAGAGAAGAGAGAAAAGCAGTGGGGCACAAAGGTACAGTGACAGTGCAGGGGCAGAAGGTAAGTTTAGAGACATTGATGATGCTCTGTCCAGATGGTTTTCATAAAGAGGAGCTGACCCCTGACTGGCTTTGTGAAGCACATTACTTCATCTGCCCCCTCTTTCAATACTATCACCTCCACAGTCAGCACCTCTTCTTCCTTGTATATATTTTTGGGCATTTGTGGTTTTTCAAGTTGTGTCATCATTACCGTTAATGGTGAAAGATGTTCAGTGTTTAACTGATTCATTATTTCTACAGAATCATTCCCTGAATTGTTTTAAATTACAGCCTTATAATAGTACAGATATGTGATATGTGTAATTATTTCAAATAAAGCTCCTGTAGTTGGGGCTAAATCTAAAAAAAAATATCAAGTTCTAGTTTTGAACAAATAGTGAGCATGTTGTTCTTGACATATATATCTGTCCTGGTTTGTTTTGGATAATATTAGGAGCCCACAATGTCATGGTGGATGTGTTCTTAGTATCTATTAGGATAGACTCTTGTGTGTGGCCAAATCTTTTTCACTTTGTGGAAGAATATATCTGACACAGTCACTTCTGGGGGTCCTGTTTCTTCACAAGTTCACTGTGGTTCCCATAATGCAAATCATTACATGTGAAAGATTGTTTTGAGGTTAGGGCTAGTGTTATATATGCTGTGGTGGAGGTAAAGGTTAGAATAACTCTTAAAGGAAATGGAATACATTAATGCACGCTAAAACCCAACCATCAATCTTACCAGTAATATACTTTGTGGACATTGTTTTATGTAAAATGTTATCACAACTGAATAACTGAATATATTTATATTTTTTGCACAGATGGCAAGCTTGGAGTTTGATTAAGAACACAATTAATGAATCATCTCAATTTTTATATATATATATATATATACACACACACGCACACACAATATACACAATTTACACAATTAAATTGCGGAATCCTAATTTAATATCATTTAATTAAGTTTAATATTGCAAAATGCAAAAAAGTTGTATGTTCTTGCATGTAACCCCTGTGTGGCCAGAGTCCCATCAGCTGCTCCTGTGTCAGTGCAGAGATGACCTCATAGCCATTGGAGACACTCACACATACTTGACCTCTGCCTGGACCCAACTGGAAAAGTGCTTACCCTTTTGTCTGTAACCTCTGAACATAGAACGCAGCAGAGACACAGGCCTGAGTTTCATTAGGACTAAAACTCAATTTCTGCTTCTCCAAAGTTGTAAGAACTTTGATTTCAAGATGCACTTAATGGTATCAAAGAAAAATTATGTGACTTTCAATCTGACCATAAGAATATGTTTTGGCGAATATCCTGGGAGGTGAAATCCTCCACCCCATGTTCAGACAAAGAATTATATGTGCCAATAGCACATCCAATAAGATCATCTAAGGTGGACATTTTGGTCTTGGTGATACACTCACTCCCTGTAAATCTGCAGGGGTGAAAATGTGCCAGTGTAGGCCAATAAATTTTCCCTCATCTGTAGTTGATCATAACCCTGACTTGGCCCAGAACTCCATACTGATAACATTATTGCAGTATCCTCTGGCCTCCATATTACAGTAAACACTTACAGTGCAAGTGTTTCTCTGGCGTGAATCATGAATACATGTTGGCCATTTAATCATCAAATATTAGACAAAGCGGGTGCAGCACAACACATTGCTTTGAAGTTTTGTTGTGATATGGTTGAGTTTTCGTTATATATATGGCACTGATTAAATGCAGACACACATTTGTAGTTGCTCACCGCTGTAGGGTGGTGGAAGGGTAATTGTTTGAGACTGGGGGCAGGAGCTGGCGAGGCAGGCCAGGCCAGACGAGGCCAGACGCACTCCTAAGGCCACTGCTGCATCAATAAACGCAGCGATCAAAGTCGCAATTAACCCACCGCACTAACACAAACAGCTGGGCCAGCAGAAACAAACAAAGCCTTCATGTCACCTAAAGCGTTTATTTTTGCAGATTTCCACCTCAACGAGGGAGACCTCCAGCGCTTGTCAGCTTCTGTAAGCAGTGTTAGAGCTGAGGAATGCGGGTCACAAGGATGGCTTGCTGCCTGTGTGTGCTGTGCCAGTCCATTGATTGCTGTTGTGGTGGCATATGGGTGAGATCTAGCCTGATGTGTTGTCAGGAGGCAACAGGCTTGGATGCCTTTTTTATATACACCAAAGAGGAAATGCATTTTTGAAAGCACATCTGTCTTGTCTCATCCTCATACACAAATTAATCATCTCAATTGAGATCCAGACACTATTTATTCTACAACAACCACTAATCTAAATGGCTTGTTCACATAGTTGGGAAACTATGCTCTGCCTTTGAAAAACCATATTTCTAGATCCTTGGATTGGGGGATTCTGATTAAACTTATCAATATTTCAGTAGCACAAAAGTTGGAACCCTGTGTGTAGTTGCAGAATTGCTGCATGCACAGCACTCACAACAGCACTGGGGGAAAAAACAGACAGAAAAATGTGTTTAAAGCATTGACACATATTATGGTTCCTTCACCTCTTATGGTTTGTTATTTCAAAGATTCGACTGCATTAAAGAAAACTCTATTTCTAATTAAAAATGAATGTCTCTTTTCAAACATGCAATTATAATTATGTTGGCAGCTGGAGAAATCACAAATTGAATAAGGAGCATATTCATAGTACTACAGTGCATGTAAACTTAG